ATATATATATATATATATATATATGTATATGTATATATATATAATATATATTATTATTATTATTATTATTATAACTCGAGACAACGTTGCTTTTGTTGCTTGAAATATAACCAATGTGTGTCGCAATATTTATATACATATCATATATTATACGTTGAAAAAATGAGGTACAAGACATTGACTTCGGAGAAGTAATGCGATGCTGAACTTATATACGTGGTGTTTGTGTGGTAGAGGTGAAAACCTTACGTCATATATACCTAAGTTCATCGTGGCAGTTGATACGCGCATTAAAAATGTTTTCTTCGAACGCGAAGAAAACAAATTTACATCAACGCGTGCGTGCGATCTCAATTTTTTCCCGCTAGAGTACCGTTTCCAGGTGCTACCGACATTTCACCTCCTTGCGTGCTGTCACGTTGGGGACTCTGTCGTAAATATACAAACACAACACACATGTTTAAGCACAAAACAAGCAAACAAGATACTTTCACTTAAGATTTATACACGTAGAGAGTTTTTTTTTGCGCTTTTTATTTAACAGGTTTAAATAATGATGATCACAAAAAAATAAACAAAATAAACAAAATAATTAAAATAATTTTGTTTACCTTTGTTTATTTTAGAAGATAAACGAACGAATAAAAGATACGTATATTCATTCATATCTATCATCGTTTACCTTCACATGAATTTGTTGTTTCAACATCGCAGCTCTTAAAATCAACATTCGTGTACGCCTCTGATAATCTTTGCCGACGCTCATAGACTTCTCAAACGTGGTGCTGCGTTGATCGACGTCCTTTGCGTACAAAATCTATAAAAAAACAATATCAGTTATTCGCAATAAAAAAAAATTCTATAAAGTTACATTTTTCTCTCGAAATATCTAAAACACCAATTTTGTTTTATGTACGTGTACGCCTCAAAAAACTACGGGATTCTCACCTTGTTATGCGAATCTATACGAGCCTGAATTTGTCCGTCGAGAATGAGTTGCATGAGCTCGTCTTCTAATTCGGATACAGTTCTGTTGAACGCGGTTGCCATTCGTCTCATGTCCGCACTTAAATATGGACTAAAATACTGTATCAAGGCTCTATTTCGTATTTGTGTGTACAAGAGATTTACGTGGGGCGCTATATACATATCCAGAAGAATGTTGTCCTTGATCTCATCGAGCAACTTCAGACAGGACGCGTATTTTGATTCGTAAAATTTGAAAATTATGTCTCGCAGTTGCGGTTCTAATTCTAAAAATAATTTGAAGGAACTACTAAATATAACTTGTTTTTGCAGTTCGTGCCTGTCAAAAGTAGCTAAAGCACAAAGTCCGCCGTAAAGAGCCACATTTCCAGGTGAGAGTAATTCGGGACAATCGCAGTGATCCAGGGACGCCTGAAGGAAGTGTTTCGCGGCCATTTTGTATTTTCTTGTTGCCAGTTCCGCCAGACCAGCCGCCACTTTTAACTTGGTGACTATGGCTTGGTTGTTGTCTTTACCGTGTAATTCCGGGAAGTCCGGAGTACTTTCTGCTTTCGTGACATAACTAAGTACGTGAGACCAGTTTTGTAAATAAACAGAGACCTTGATTACATTCGAACACATGTTCACCACGTGTTTGCCACTGGTGCAGTAGTCTCGTGCTCTAGAGTAACATTTCAAAGCATGAACAAGATCACCACAATTCAAGTAATGATCACCCAGGTCGTCGTGACCTCTTCTTATGCTTTCCTTTATAGAATTGCTCTTGTAATTTTTCAAATCGGTGTCAAACTTCTCCAATTTGAGAGCCGCCTTCTTAGACCGAGTCTCCACCCATGTTTGATCCAATGTAAGCGTGTCCTGAGATGTTGATTGCGCCGCCACATCCGGCAATCCGGGAGTACCCATGGCTTGTGCGAGCTTTTTATGAAGCAACACATAAAGCGGAACATTATACGTGGTCATCACATAGGTAATTGCCATTTTTAACGCTTCTATTCTTAATGACGGACAGTGATCGGCGATGAACATTAGTCTATATAGTTTTGCAAGTCCGGTATAGCTGTTGGCATATACTTCCAAATCCTGAGAAAAACAAAAGATATACGAAATAATGGACACACATTCGTGTGTGTTCGCTGGATTAAAATCGTCTTTTTTTTTTTTTGTTTGTTTTTGTTTTTTTTTGTAATCAATTTCGTACGTACTAGGGTTGGATTTTCTACTATATACGGTTCTTCCTCAGCATTATCATTATCCTCTGTAGGAGCATCAACCTGCATTGGCTCCACGACATTTTGCTGCGAAAAGACGATAATGTGTCAACACCACACGTACATACGGTCATGCGTCTATTTTAACGCGAGATTTATTTAAATAGAGAGATCGCGCGCGCGCAAAAAAAAAAAAAAAAAAAAACTGACTAAGAGAGATTCGAGCGTGAATACGTGTATATATCTTAACCCCAACAGTTCTCGAAAATCGCTCGATCCCGGACCGTAAAGATCCCGGTCGTAGCCGAAACGTGATAAAATTACCTGAACGTCGTGAACTTGCAACGGCATTATTAATTCTCGTATTCGCTACGTCAGAACGGCAACTCGTGCGGCTATTATAACAGAAAAGATTCTTCCGACCGTGCGAACCATATATAAATTAAATATACACACTCATGTGTGCAATGCGTACATACACACAACGACACGACGAGATTCGTCGAACCCAGCCGCTGTTGAAACCCGAACGAAAGAGAGCGACGTAGAACGGTCGCCGCAAGTGTCAGAGCGCGCGAGAGAATCCGCCGCGCCACGTGTCGTGTCGTACGTAAAGTCCGTTCTACATTAAAGAGCAAAATACAGGTCGTGTGTGAAATCGACCAATCACGTTGGCCCAATTGGCTGATCTGATCAACGCGATTGGTCGCTTTTGCGCTTGCGCCTAATGTTGAACGGGCTTAAAATCGCGTTGCACGATTGAGATCGATTCCTCGGAGATCTGAAACATCTCCATCCCGGTTTTACCAAAGGATGATAAAGCAGTTTTCTGCAGGATAAATAAAAATATTTAAAAATGGCGAATTGCGCGAACCTCTAATAACGCACCACGGTTTACCCAGTTCCTCACGATCTCTCGTTTCAACTCTTTTTTTTTCTTCGAGTAAGTACGCCTAAGAGAGTTTATCTCGCTGATATCTGTTACCTGTTTTTTTTTTTTTTTTTT